CTTCCTGGAGATATTTCACCTCTAACCAAGCCGGGCGAAGGTCCTAACTGGCAGGCCAGAAGCGGACGAAGCTCGGTCACAGGCTCTATGATTTCACCTTCGCCCAGCTCTCTTTCTCTAGCGTCACAGGCATCTAATATTGGCGCTGGAGGCCAGTGGCAGAACTTCGACTCTGCAGCAGGGCGTGATATGTCACGCAAGGGTTCTGAGCAACCTACCAAAATCAATAAGGACAACGATGACGGCAGTCTTAGCGGATGGATCGAGGCTCTGGGTGTCGACCCGTCTTACCGCCCGCCCCAAGAACGAAACCCCAAGCCTGTCGCATGCTTCTATATCCAGCGACGGAACCAGAACGATCCTGGAAACTCGGATTACCACCGCGCTATCTACCTGATGCGACGCACACTTCAGGAGCTTAACAGCCGTATTGCAGCCAAGTGGGGCATTGACCCGTCCCGCATCCTCCGTACGATTCATTCCATTCAGAACGGCCTCGAGGTGGAAATGGATGATGATGTGGTGCAAGAGCTTAAGGAGGGCCAAGATATGACTCTTGAGATCCAAGAAGTTACTGGACAGTCCGCAGTCAAAAGAGAATGGGAAATGGCCGTCGACCCTACCGAAGACATTTCAGAGCCCAACGACAAAGCAACATCCGGTTTCGTCCTTCGTCTCGCTTTCTAATCGCTCTTTTCTTTCCTTTATCCTTTTTTTATACTCTTTCCAACTCTCATCCGCCGTTATCTCCGACTGCGTTTGATGATGAGTCTTCAGCGATGAACACACGGGTTTAGACTTGGGTTAGTTTTGTTTTTTCTTGATTCTCTTGACCTGTCGCCAGGTTGGGCTCACGATCGCATACATATATGGACAGGGATTGTTGGCTCTGGGGGGCGTTGACGACTCTTCCTCTTCTTCAAAAATGATACCACTGGTTTTTTTTTTTTGTTTATTTTTTTTTGTTCTTTTTGCCAACACTGTTGAGGGCAGTGATTGGTATTTATGGGATTTCTATTCGCTGTTGTTGCTTTGCTTTAATATTTGAACGGATGAAAGGTTGGCTGGTTGGATGGCAAGGACGGTACGAAGGCAAGATGGGACCGGACAATGAGGATTTTGGACTGCTCTCGATCCCTCCCCTCTCGACAAAAACACACCCTGGCCTACCGACATGCAATGGTTTCGAAATGGTCGGATGACCGGGCGAGAAGATTCACCAAAAGGGACTATACTCTTGGCGCTTTGATTCGAACAGCCAGCGAGTGGGTCTGCTTTGGATATCTTTATCCGCTCTTATGCCGTTAAGCGGTATCTATTTGTGCCGCCATCCGGATCTGGTCAGTCCACGTTTCCCCAACATGGAAGCAACAGCAATTATACTACGATACTACCTTTGATCTTGACCGCACTCGAGCAACACTCAGAAGCGCATATGCATCACATTCTCACACCACGGGCACATTAGCCCGACGTACACGAAAAATAGGGATTTACGAAGTAATGCTAGCAAAGCATGGGGCGAAGGAATTGAACGGAATATCGATCTTGTTCTTGGGAAACACGACGTACATACTCTACCATATACAATACCCATATTTGTTCAAATTTCAAACCTAACTTTGTCCCGGCTATCTGACATAGGGCTCACCCAAACCCAGGCATGGAACCTACGGAGCAGCTATCGAGCAAAGATGCCCGTGCCCTTGGACTCAGCCGATTTGTGGAGTCTGATGGATCAGGTCTCAAGTGGCGGCCCAATTTGACACTCAACGGCCGCTATTCGTTACCATCAGGCGTGGACTAGTGCCGCCGAAAATAAGGATGGCGCCATATTGCCATTTGATGAATCCGAGACCAACATGGTGGTTATGACGCTACCTAAGCTATCAATAAACGGCGCCATTTGATGTATTGTTTACATGCGTGTCGTGGACGAATCACAATGGCTCGATCCCAGGCTATTGTTTCGTGGCTGGTGCATCGCCAAAGCACCTCAAATGAGGTCTATGGACATCCAGGGTCGGGAATTAAAGGGCCATACCAAACTCCATATCCCCGTTAAGCCGGAGTTTCTGTCCGGCGACTACAGGCGCCAAGCGGCGTCAAGGATTAAGGAGAGAAGCTCAATCAAACTTGAGAGATAATATCACATAGTAAAGAGGACAACAGCACGATTAGGGTACATTGAAACCTTGCATGACACGAGCCACAAGGCCACCTTCCATCGCCAAGGGGCCACGAGCCGTATTCCGAGAGAATTGCTATCTGAAAGGAAGTCAATTGGTTGAGTAAGTGAAGTGCCAAGATGGAATCAAAGGAACCTAAGTGCCGGGCTTAGCCACCTGTGGCGAGGAGGCTTGCGTGTTCCCAGAAATTGTGGCTTCTGTCTGGGGTTGCATCGGGGACGGGATTGAAATTTAACGTTGTGGCTCGTGAGCTGTTCAAACTTCAGCTCACCTCGATTGGGAAAGATGGTCGTGGTTGTTGACGTGTTAGCGATGTTTCATGGCTGGAGGGTACCTGGCGGTTCTTGGGATGTGATTTGTTGTGTCGTTTTGTTTCTCATTTGCGATGTGCTGTCTAGTCCGGGGGATTCAAAGCGCTTGCAGCAGTAAGTATCACGGTATTACGGGAAGAGAAGTTACCGAGCGCACACGCATGCACGCTCGACCCTGACACCCAGACACCCCATGCTTATTCCCTCTACATCGGGTTGAACCTTTTTCACTTTGGGCAAAGCATCTGTATGGTCCCCATGTCGTTGTTGGCTTGGCGGGTGAGTCTCGATCATCGGCGATGGCATGACCCAACTCATGTGTCGTCGCATCTATGTGCTGGTGCGGTACGGTATCTCGGCCGGCAACGTCTTTCCCCTCCCATTAACTACGGGAAATTATGCTAATGCAGAGATCCGGCGCATGGTGGCTTCCGGGGCATTGGAATCCATGTCATGATCGTGTAACCAGTCGTCACTAGCCACAATCGAAGTCGAGCTCGCGCCTCAGGGGAACTGGATGCCAAAGTGATCGGCGGGTGTGCAATGCAATGCAGTCATTCAATCCAATCCGTTTTGGTTCTCTAGACACTCATCTCAGCTCGGCAAGGGTGTTCAACGGCCCGGTTGAGACATTGGAGTTTACGTTCTGGACCATGTGGCTCGCCACAGCAGGGAGTAGCGATGAGCCACAGGTAACATCATCTACGCCGCACTTGTGGCGATATATCTCAACATCAATGAAACCATAAAGGCTTTTGCCAGACGTTGACTGGTTCCAGCCTCGAATGATTACTGATGATGAAAGTACTTTGTGGCTTACCTCTTTCTCCAAAGGGGCGTGTGTCTGCCATGAGGGGGATCGACGAGTCTCGAGCCACAAGTCACTCAGCATCATGGCCCATCATTGGGCGTTCCTTATCAAAACGTCGGGTCTGAGGCTAACCTAACAGTAGCCCTAGGGGATCTCGTGGTACAAGCTAAGCGACTCGAGCAGCCAAGACCATTTTAACCGCGGGTGAACGTTTGACGGTCCCTTTTTATGAGGCGTGTGATAAAGGTCGGTGAGAAGGGATAACGACTGGAGACTTCCCACTGCCGAGCCTGCGACAAGTGTCGGAGTCGGTCCGCCCTTTGGCTATTGGAAACTCTTATTGAGAGTATTCTGTGAGAATAAGTTGCTAAGGGACTCGCCTCCTAAGCGAAGAGGGACGGAGGAGTCAGGGTTCGAATTTACCTCGCAGGGCAGGATCCCGCTTGTGCGTTCTGCATCAAGCATCCAATGGCACCTGTCAATCTGGCAGACATACTTCCTGTTCTGGCAAGTTGAAGGCATTTAGCCACATCAGAGTCACTCACAACGTCGAAGGTCGAGAGTGTGACTTCTCTGGGGCTGAGGAAGATACCCCTCACCGTTGTGGCTCATTGCCTCGAAGCGATCAACATGACGCAAAGCTTCGTGATGTGCGGTACAAGACCACAAGGGCAGAGCTTTTACCGAACGAGGTGCGGGGTCCGTTCTGCAAAAAGTAATCGGCGTGGGAATATCGAGTGTCAAATTCTCAAAAGAGTCCAGAAAGAATGATCTACACTCTAGACTCAAGCGAAGGATTGTCGATCTTTTGGGCCTGGAGTTACATGCTCTGATAATCCGTCTGGCGACTCCGATAAGCGATTGAACATCAAATGTGACTTGTGAGTCGAGACTGATGTTTCTTTGATACGTACAAGAGGCCTCCTATGCCCTTGGAGCTGCTCTGATCATGTTGCACGTAAACTCTCGTCGCTCATGTCCTCGTCTCAACTCTATTCGAGCTCCGCATACGCTACACCACATGATCATCGCGGCTCTCTATGCTTCGCCCTAGCCGCTCCTACCGAAATCTAAGGGATTCACAATATCGGCCTTCAAACTTTTTTCGTCTCTAGTTTGGCTCCATCGTCTCCAAGGGTCGCGACGACAAGGTCCTGGGTGCTATGAATTTTTATTCGATCGATCGAACTCCAAGCGAACATCGGATCTCGATGATCATGAGAAATGCCGAATCTCATTAGTACATGGTAATTTTAAAAAACGCATACGCGTTCGTGGACCTTCGAGGCTTGTTATGCAGCCCTGCGTTTTTTCTTTCGAAACAAACATTAACTCGCGGAGAACCGAATGGATTAAGAAAGACGGTAAATGCTTTGAGAACCCATATATCTTATGGATATATGCAGGAAACAGCGATTTTGCTGTTCAAGGAAGCACCCGCTGTTGATTGTTGCACGCCTCCTTCCCCAGTATCCAGGCATTCCTGTCAATTTGTTTCAAAACGCAAGAACACCTGGCAAAAATAGAAGATATGTCTCCACAAACACGGGCCGCCCATGCATCTACCCACAGCTACAGCTGTAACACCCAAAGAAGAAGCATACGAGAGATATTAGCATCTTGAGAAACTTTTCACTCAATATACAAGCAAAAAACAAGGGCCTCAAATAGACCCTTTGTTGATTCACATGCCCCGTACTGGAATCGAACCAGTGATCTTATCATGTTGTAGCGAGTTCGTCGAACGGGCTTTTTTACTAGTGATACGCTTTACCACTGAGCCAACGGGGCTTGTCTTGTGACTGTTGGAAAGAGCTGCAACGTTTAGATCTAAGAAGGAGATCTCCAGTTCGAATGCGTACCAGGAATATCTGAACGAGCATCCGAAAGCAGAGACAACAAGTGGCCTCGTCAACAACTTGGAGATTGATTCAGATGTCCATGCAATTACTGCCTAATGTGCTTGTTGCTTGGCTTGAGCTTGGGTCCTTTCTACTTGCTTATTCTCCCTCTCACCAACATCACACACCTCACTAGGAGACGCATACTTGGCGACTTACACAGGCACCATGGCATCTGTAAAATCGAACAGTTTCACCTAGAAGTTAGTATTGCCGAGATTAGTATAATGGCTGGAGACCCCGTATAAAGTCAGCAGGCGGGATGCCCTGAGTGATCGCGTAGATCGTCAAAGGTTACTCGATGTCTCAGCCATGAGTCACTGGATCTATCATCCAGATATTCGGTCATTTATTCAATACTTAACTGAAGACAATATGAGACAGTCTTCTAAATATAATCTACCTTTTCCCATCGGGAAGTTGGATCGTGGTATCTCGCGCATGGAGCATACGACATTTGCGATATCAATATTGTATGTTTTGGCCATGCTCACAACGCCTCACTTTGTCCACCTTAGCCACACTCTGAATCCACAGAAGGCTTACTTCTTAATCAGCCGCTACCAACGCGGCTCGAAGTTATTCTTGGACATCTGTGTTGGAGAGTGAGTTTGCTCTTCGAGGAAGGACACAAAGTAACCAACAGCCAATAGGAAGCTCGTTTGCTCTAATGAACTCATAGTTCAATACGGCATCACTTCCATCTTGCTTTATTCCTCCACAGCCTTGTCTAATATCTCCCGTACGCTCCTTGCATAATCTTCCCCGTCACCTTTAATCCCATCCAACACAACTGTCTTATCGCGTGACTTCATGCCGTGCGTCAACTGTAGACGAGACTTTGGAACGCCTAATATACCACTAAGGACCTGAACAACAGCCTTGTTGGCTTCGCCTTCTCTCGCCTGGGCAGAGACGCAAAGTTCAATTGCATCGTCGGTGACAGCAATGACTCCCTCGCGGTTCTTGCTGGCTCCTGGTTTCACATGAAGCTGAAGATGCAGAGATCCCAAAGGGGACTTTTTGGTGCCTGTGACGAAGCGGATGGTGCTAGAGGACGCCATACTCAGAGAGCGTAGCGTAGTATGGATGCAAAAGAGAGCGTCAGGTGAATGCCAGTTCAATACCATTCACTTCAGCTCAGCTCAACTCAATTCAGTGCAGTAAATGAGGGGTAACTTAAAAGTACGTCAGTTTTGTGAAAAGGGTAATATTGGAAAGTCTCACGTTGCAGAATGCAGAAGGAAGAGTCAAAGCCTGCCACGTAATTGACTGAGATTGTTTTGTTGTTGTTATCTTGGCTCATATTTCGTTACATCGTTTTCTTCCCTTCTTACACCTGACAAGCCGCTATTCTCTCGTCTATTATAGCACCTACCTACCCTGTTGAGCGCCGAGATGCGGCGCGCAACATCCATCCTTGCAGTACTGAAGCCTCGGGCCAGTGGCATTCCAGTTCCAGTTGCAGTGCCCCACTGGTCGTCAATTCTCCATTATCTCAAGGGTCGACAAACTCGGACCTCAACTACATCATCGACATTGAACATCGCCAAATCCACGCCAACCTCAACCTCACTTCACCTCAATCGGTCCCAAAAGCCGACATCTGGCTGCATGCTCACCGCATCGTCAGCATCAGCATCAACTCGTCTTAGTAGACTCAGCCTATCAGGCGCCATGGCCTCGGCCTTCAGCGCATACCATGGCCCTACTGCCGCCGCGTCGCAAAATACCGTCACGGCTTTGGGGCGATGGTCTGTCCTAAACCATCCGTTACCAGGTTCGTGAGCCCTCGAATTTATTATCCCATCTCCTGACAGTGCTTATGGATGGTGCTAACTCTCTGTAGCCGTCGATAAGATCAAGACCCTTCATGTCTACGATTTCGACAACACCTTATTCAAGACTCCCCTACCGAACCCTCAGCTCTGGAATGGCCCTACGATCGGAACATTATCGAACCAAGAAACCTTTGTCAATGGTGGTTGGTGGCACGACAGTCGCATCCTCGCCTCGACTGGTGAAGGCATCGATGTCGAAGAGAAGCGCGCCTGGGAAGGCTGGTGGAACGACAAGATTGTTGATCTCGTCAAGTTGAGCATGAAGCAGAAGGATGCCCTTTGCGTCCTGCTCACTGGCCGTTCAGAGCGTGGGTTCGCCGAGTTGATAAAGAAGATGGTCACTGCCAAAGGACTCGAATTCGACATGATGGGCCTCAAACCTGCCGTCAGTCCGACAAACCAGAAGTTCCAGAGCACCATGCATTTCAAGCAACTCTTCCTTGGAGCCTTAATGGAGACATACAAGCAAGCAGATGAGATCCGGGTATACGAGGATCGACCAAAGCATACCAAAGGCTTCCGCGACTTCTTCGCCGACTACAACCGTCAACAAAACACTACACCAACACGAGGTCCCCTCACAGCCGAAGTAATACAAGTAGCAGACTGCGCGACCACGCTAGATCCCGTCATCGAGGTGGCCGAGATTCAGCATATGATAAACACCCACAACGAAATTGTCTCAAAGCAATCGTCACACTTACGCCAACACCGACTCAGAATTAAGAAAACTGTATTTTTTACCGGCTATATGATTGGACCGGAAGACACAAAGAAGCTCATCAAGCTCGCCCACATACCCCAAACTATGCCACAGCATGAGCTCAAGTACCACGGCAACAACATTCTCATCTGTCCCCGGCCATGCCCTGCCAGCATCTTGGAGAAGGTGGGCGGCATGGGCAGCAAAATGAATTGGGAAGTAGTTGGCACAGGCTGCTTCGAGAACAGTGTCTGGGCAGCACAGCTACGACCTATCCCTCAACACGCCAAGTTTCATACCGACAACCCCAGTCCGCTCGTCGTGTTGGCTCTGAGAAAGGGAGCCAGACCAATGGACGCGGGCAAGATTCAGAACTGGCAGCCTTTGCCGCCAGACAGCTCGTTTGTTTTTGAGACCGTAGTCGGCGAGAAGGTCATTCTACGCATCGAGCCAGAGGACCCCCGAGAGGACGCGTATGAGAGCTTGTTTGCCAACAAAACGTCCAAACGGAAGCACAATGGTGATGAAGATTGGAGCCAAAGGAACACCCATGGCCACTATGGTGGACGTAACGAATCTCGCGGCTACCACTCAGGCAGTCGAGGAGGTCGAGGACGAGGGAACTCCAACCGCGGCCACCGAGGTAATTCCAGGGGCGGTCGAGGAGGTCGTGGTAGAGGAGGAGGCTACAACTATCGATCTCTCGATGATGTTGACCCCAAGAACCAGCAGGGCGGCTACGGGCCACAGGTAGATTATGATGACTCCTACCCGCCGCTCGGCAAAAACAACAACCCTCCTGTCTCCGCACCCAGCGGTCCCAGCCAAGGCAGTTTTGCCGGTCGAAACCAGCAGCCGCCACGAGGTCCCGCGGCAGCACAGGGACGACCCATGGGCGGACAGGCAGCTAACAACACCTCGGATTTACAGAATTACTATTAGAAATAGTCTACACCCGCTCAATATGGCGGTCATCATTTTATCTGGACGTTGAACAGCATACACTTTATACGGCTCTTTCTTACACGGTGCCCTGGTCAAGGGGCGAGGATAAATATATATGTATATATACATGTGTGGTCTGAACAAGGTCTTGTTTGAGATCTAATTAGGTGCGAGGCGTTAAGGAGGGAAACAAAACAAGCATGATACCTTGTGGAAAAATGGAAAATAATATTTGTCGAGGAACTGAGAGAGTTATGTGCGATGTAGGCGCTTGTTAGCTGTACCACATCTTATATCGGTTGCTTATGCAAAATAGAAGGCTTTATGCGAGATTCATCACAACAATTTTGACTCACAACAACCATTTCCGGAATATCAGTGCGATGATATGATGTACTATACCTAGGATCCAAGAGTCAGTCCATATCAGTTGTGATTCCGTAGGACCGTAGGAACTCATGCAAGTGGGTAGAGCCAATGTGTCCTTAGAAGCTATTCCTATTTGTTGAAGACTGTTTTAGTGCACTTTTGCTGATACTGTTAGATCTTTATTCATAACCCTGCCAGTCGCTGACTTGCAAGAGCAAGTTCATGAGTTCCTACGATATTGTCATTTTCCTACGGTATTGTCAGTTCTCTGGCCGAGCCCGAGTGAGTCAACTCATTTGTCAAGTTCCTCGAGGCCGACTATTCTCATTCATATACATGCTGATATAGGAGAAACGAGACAACCGCCATACAAACCTACTTCTCATCAAGATAACACACAGTTGCCTAACAGGGCTAAGGAAAGATTGAATATTTCCTATAGTTCGGGGTATAACCATATTCACCTCCTAGAGCTACACGTTCACGTAGCTGAGATGATACCCAGTTATACAGAGAAACTTCTATGAGATACACAGTCTACTAAAGACATTTATAAAAATATACAGAAGAATAATACACTTTATAAGATAGGTCTACATATCTTATGATAACACTATAACAAATCTTACTAAACTTGACTAAAAACTACCTTGTCAAATCCACAAGTAGCTATTAAACGATCATTTCTTCAGCCGTGTGATATGAACCCCATAACAAGTCGACATACGTAATAGAACGCTCAACATCTTGGTAAAACGTACGAATAAGTCTATCAAACTCCCTCGTATCTTACCAACGCTGACCATGACCCATTAGTGTGGCATTGGCATGAGCATGACAAGAACAATCAATGCACCGAGTATAAATAGTCTGCACTTTGCTTGTTTTTGTCTAGACCGAACAACACCGCGTTGCATCAGGATCACTTAATTTCAACAAGTATAGTAGATTTCAGCCTTGTTTAGTTGAACCGGCTTGCCACTAGTAAAGCCACCAATATGAAACTGGTCATGGCTGTTTAATAACTCTCCT